AATTTCCATGGAAAAGGAGGAGAAAACAACGAGGATTATGAGACTGAATTTCCCTCCTCCCCACCTTTACTGTTTATAATACTCTATAGATATCACTGACTGGGCATTTTTTTCCTGTGCTACTCAATCTCTCAACAATTTTGGGCAAATAGCTTAATTCCTTTGCTGGTAATAATCTTTTTTACATGCTTAGATTAAAATACCTGCCAAGGTATTTTTATTAATATCAATATCTGCCAAGTGTTGTATTAAATACTGCTTTATTTAATTTCCAGAGTAATAGGATCTGTCACTGCCCAGTTAATTAAAAATGTTTTCTCAATATGATGACAGGGTCCTGGATGATAAACTTGCATGGAATGTATACATTGTTGATGTTTATTCCAATGAATTTGAAAGAAAAGCAAGAAGCAGCACTGATGAAACCCAAATAGAAATTATTGCTTTTGATGAGGCCCACCAGGAAGTACCTGCACAGGATGTAAAAAGGTCTGTATGGCACAGTCTGGCTTCTGGGGGGCAGAGCTATGCAGATGGGTTTTGTTTCTCTGGAAGTTATTAAGGTCTTGGACTGGATGGGTTTAGATCAAATAACAGTTTACCTGAGATTTGGCTCAAGGCTTGAATGGATATTTTAGAATTCAGAAAGCTTTCATTATTTATCGAAAGGTAATTTCCAGAGTTTGTCAAAACCATGAATAAGGCAGTTTAATCGTGCAAAATAGATTTAAAAGTCAGTTTAAGAAAAAACAGCTGAAGCAGAAAGAATGTAATTAAAATACATTGACTTTACAACAGCAGATTGTTGATTTAAAATTTTACGCTTTAGGTGTATTTTACATTTGTTTCATAACACGACAGTGATGTGGATTTAGAGGATTTACTGATCTCTCAAGTTCAATTGTCCAAGCTTTGCAGCATTTTAGGTCACAAGCACCAGGGCTGGTTGCTTAGAGAACAGAGGCTTTCCTGAATGAAAGCCACGACAAGCCTGAATTTTCAGAAAAGATCTTGGCAGACCAGGGAGGGATATTTTGTTCTTTTCCTCTCCGCTCCTCCAGCCAAAACGAAGGCCTGGTTAAGTCATCACATTTTATCCCTCTTTTCTTCAGAAAACTCAAGGAGCAGTCTGGAAACATCGAGGCAGAACTGGAGAAGGTGTTTTCCACCTCTGTCACTGCTGCCATAGTGGAGCCTCCCGCGGCCTCGGCGAGCCCGGAGCTCGTCGCAGCCATCGTGCTCAGCGTCGTCCTGGCCTGCACCCTCATCGCCTTCCTGGTCTACGTGCTCCTGGACGTGAAAAGGAAAAGGTACACAGAGCTCTGCTCCAACTGTATAGTTTATATCTACAGCTCATCAGTTTATTTAAATGTCAGCTTGAGAAAGTTGTCCCATAAGCTGTTGATGTTTGCGCGGAGCAGTTGCCTAAGATTTGCTGTGAGTCACAACGCCTGGTGTGCAGATATTAAACAAACACGCCACAGGCGGTGAGAAGTCGTTTCTTCTTGTGTTTGTCACGCAGCAACAGCAGAAACAAAGAGTTCTAAACCAGAGAAGGGTGGACAGCAGCAACTGTAACTGTGAAGGGAGGCACAAGTAGCTGTAACACACCCACATGGGTCTCCTCTAACCCCACGAATGCTGAAATCAAGGCAGGTTTTGCTGCTTGACTTCAGTGGCAGCAGGGCCACAAAGCAGAGGAAAACAATTACATTTCCCAGAGGACAGCGAATATTTACCCTACTACCATTATGGAAAAATAGGAAATATTCTAAACAAATCCCCAGAATAATAATGAAAGTAAATATTGTGTGTTAAACTTATGACACAAATAATTCGTCTTCTGTTTCTAAAACAACCATGAAACCAATATTAAAAAAGAATTAATAATCTTATTTGAATGTATTTATCATTTTCAGAAAGCGTGAGCAGCAGCATTTGGTTAAGAAGCAAGCTGAAAGTATGGAGGGCATTGATAACCCGTGGGCCATGGACAAAAATGGAAGTCTGAAAAGCTTAGAGAAACTAGAGCACATGAATAACGGGTAAGTAGAATGCTGATATCACAAATTTATTAAAAATAGCATAAAAAAGTGTGATTCTAGTTTATTCTGGTACCACAGGATTTTCCTTGGATCCTTCACTAGTATATAGGTCAGTTTTTAAGAACCCTTATAATGACAAGTTAAAAATCTCTACACTCGAAGTAAGCTTTTAATCTCTTATCAAAAATTGCACGGGCACATTCCTACTTACCCTTTAGCAACTTGTTAATCCTTATGCAGAAAAGAACCTTCGGGATACAAGAAGCTACTTAACATTTATTTCCTTGGATAAAATCCCACTAATTTTGAGATCACTGTACATGCTGCTCTCAGAGAGGCTGAGTCTTCTGTGTTCTGAATTCTGTTAACTCTCTTCCAGGAGAAGCGAGGTATTATCATTTGACAACATATACAGCACCAGAGGAGGTGAGGCTGACAAAGATGAAATGCAGGCCCCTGAAAAAGGCAATTACCTTGAGACAATACTGGCAGATTACAATAGTGAACATGAGTATGAAAAAGCTGCTGAACTTGGAAACACGGAGGCCCAGCCCGCTGTGGCATTCATAACAAAACAGGTAATGAGCTTTTTGATTGCAAAGCGTGGAGTGAAAGGTATTTTATTGTTACTCATCAAATAATTGAAGGAATTATTGAAAAAGTTAAACCTGTCACGGAACGGAAAAGAAAACAATCTTTTGTGAAGTAACCCCTGGAAATGTTCAGGGCTGGGTTGGACAGGACTTGATCAACCTGGTGTAGTGGAAGGTGTCCCTGCCCAGGGCAGGGGGGTGGAACTGGATGATCTTTTAAGTTCCCTTCCAACCCAAACCATTCTGTGATTCTATAAAAATCTTAGAGGAGGGGCTGTTGTCCCTGAGTAGAAGGAGGAGGAAAGACTTGTCATCCAGAAATTACGATTCCTTTCTGCCTGTTATGGAATGTGCACAGTAAAGGGTTCTTGTGTGCTGCTCCAAAAACTTCCCACCTTAAAAGCACTGCTTTGTTTGCAAGCTTCACAGACAGAAAATGTAAGTTATACAACTTCCACTGCTTCGAACTTTTCCACACTACCATTTCTAACAGAAATTTCTGCCTCACCTGCACTACATTTTCTTGCAGGACTCCTTTCTGACAGACACAGCCCAGAAATCCGCTCCTCCCATACCACCTCAGCCCCCGTCAGCTGCCCCTGGAAAAGAACTGAAAGGAGTAAAATTCTCAGAAGTGGCAGTGATTTTGGACGCAGATGACGAGCCCGAAGATTACGAGCCCGAAGATGATGAGCCTGAAGGCGATGAGGCTGGCTATGACATCTCTTTATAATAAGGACACTTGATGACGAAAAGCACGATGACAGGACAGAATTTAATGAGCAACAATATGGGGACGCTATCCAGATTTTAATTCTGCTACTGCTGTTATAAGAGAACAAGCAATTTGCCGAAGGTGCTGCTCTGCAGGGCTGCTCCCCCAGCACCGGCGCTGTCTCGCTGTGTATTTAATTTCCTCTGCCGCGTGTCGAATAGCCAAGACAATAAACCCGATTCCCAAGTACTTCTCAGACATCCATTTTCTGTTCTCTGCCGCCGAACTCCGCGCCGCGGTCGCCGCGTGAAAACCCAAGAGCTCGCTTTCCGCTTTTTTTCCTGTTTCTTTGACATTTTTCCTCCCTGTTTTCCAGTTCCGCGGAGCCGGGACCCAGCCCCTTTGGAGCGGAGGAGCGGCGGGG